ATTAAAATAAAATATATATATATATATATATATATATATATATATATAAAGTCAATTTTTATTTTACTGAAATTTAATACTTTGTCAAGTTCATTTTAAATCGCTTAAAATTAAAAAATTGTAAATGAACTCTGATTTGTCCATAAGGAAAAAAACGATTCGAAATTAGAATTTATTCAGTTTAAAGGGAATTCGCTTAACGAATGACACCTCGTAGTTCTCGCGAGAGTGACTCGCTAATAAATCGCATGACATCGCATTACAGGAGGCGATGACGTGCAACAGCTGTGCGACGCGGGCGAAGAAGAGTTCCTGGAGATCATGGCATTGGTGGGCATGGCAAGCAAGCCACTTCACGTCAGGAGGCTTCAGAAAGCTTTGCAGGAATGGCTCACTAATCCCTGTAAAGTATCATGCTTTAAATACATACTTTCTCTTTCTCTCTTTCGCTCGCTCGCTCGCTCTCTCTTTCTCTCTGTCTGTACGATTCCATCGCTGTAGTTTCCCGAAATTTTAAATTACAATATTAACGGAAAATCGATCGATGAGATTAAACATAAGTAAAAATGTTGATCAAAAAGATTCTTCGTATCTAATAACATTTCTTGTGAATTTACTCGATTTCCAATTCAAACTAACTGTATGATTATTTATTAATCTTGAAATTGGAGTAATATCACAAATTAATTTGCGGCAATAATATTAAATTGCTTATCAATATGTGATATTACTCCAGCTTCGGTTTAGGACTGTGTTTCAAGACTGATAAATAATCAGCGTACATTTAGCTTGAACTGGAAATTGTATAAATTCAAGAAATATTATTATAGGCACGAAGAAGCACCTTGACCAACCGAATATGACGTTTTTCACTCATGTGAATTTTACATAACATTCACGTGTTTTGCGTTGAAACACACAATGAAATCTTGCGTGTAACACATCAAAATTGTGTATCTCGCAGCGTTGTTTCAAACGCCGGTTGTGCCGACGAACGCCGCTGCCGCCGCCGCTGCTGTCGCCGCCGCCGCAGCGGCCGCCAAG